GTCACCTAGCATGCTAGGCCGGTGGTGCCTCTGTGATTCATTAATGGAGATGCAACCATTTTATCTGTTCAAAGGCGTAACAAAACTAACTATGTCCACAAACTATAATTAGGCTGCATCATACTTCATTTTATTGCATTGTAGTGCATCTTGTTCTGTTCACAAACTGCAAGCCTCTACCCAGGTGCGACCACACACACGCCCCCAACACAGTACCAACATGCAGACCCGGTGAGTCAGCTGACTGCAGCAGGTTTGGAGTGTGTCCTCTTGGGCTTTGTGTCCTCCTGCGGCCACACAGCAGCTTTTCCTCTGCTGCAGCTGCTGATTTCTCTCTTTTTTTTTTCTCACACTGTTTATCATGGCTTTTCATGTGACTTTATTTAAACAACAAACGTGGTAGAGCAGTGATAAATATTTGTTTAAAGGGCCAGTGTAGTATTTAGTGACTGCGTAGAAATAGAATACAATAGTACATGTTTTGCTTTGTTTTATTATTGCACAATCTACATCAATAGCCAATAGCTATCAATGGGACCCCATATGTTGCACTGCCATGTTTTTAAATATACTATATGTCTTGACACTTTGGAAGGCCATTGCCATTCTTGGTGAAAAAGCCCGCCTGACCCTTCTATCCTTTATGTTAAGGGATTACGTTTTTGTGTTCTCCCTTTCTCCAGTATCAAATCTTATAGTATCAAATCATATAGTATACTTTATATTTTTAGTGGGCTCTTAGACAAGTTAAATGTAACACAATTGTAACAAAATGTTCCCCTTAGCCCAGGGGTCTGCAACCTTTTTGACCAAAAGAGCCATTTTGCTCCTTTTTCCCAAAAATATTTTTGTCTGGAGTCGCAAAACATATTTCATAGCTTGAGAGCTAATAAAGTTGTATTTATTGTTATATCAGACAAAAACTACAGTTTTTATGCATTTATTAGGCTATTTATTACATTATATAAAACTGTTAACCTCTAATAAGAAACAAAGAACTCCTATAAGGAGAATTAAAAATAATACACAGGCCTACTTTAAAATAAATTAAACACAGCACTTGGGGAGTCCTCTCCACATTTGAAGGGAAAAAAAATATTATTAAAATGGGCCCACTTTGAAATAAATAAAACATATAGCTGCACCCTAAAAATGAGTTAAAGGTAGGGTAGGTAAGAATGGAGAAACCAGCTCGAGTGCGCTAGAATTTGAAAATACACAACCGGAAAAAATATGCCTCTTCCTTCAGACTTCCTCACAGAGCCCCTCCTCCAACACACACGAACGCGCACATGACCAATGAGGGCACGAGATAAATGTGTGCACAGATGGAAGGCTGACAGGCTGACAGGCAGGTAGGCCATTCAGTTATTTTAACCGGGCCGGCTCAGATGACTGGTCGTGCTTTTTACAGCGCTACGGCTTCCAGAGATTAATTTTTGTATGTATTTATTGTCAAAGCATTTAATATATTCATTGCTATCGGGACGTTAAGAGCATTCCATGGAATATAACAAAAAGTGTTTTCTGAAATAAATTACATACCCCATTGAATTATGACTGAAGATCGTCAGCTGTCTTCCTCTCCGTGTTGTTCCCGTTGTTTCTCGATACGTAAAGGCTGCAGTGCAGCACCTTTGACAACTTCTCTCTACATNTTGGAGTCGGAGGGGGAGGTCGGGGGTCATTGGTTCCACCGGCCGTAGTTCCGAGTCACGAGCCGGAGAAGAGAAGTGGTAGATGTACGAAGGGGGCAACCCAGTTTTATTGGCGGTTGCGCAAAGGGTTAAAAGTAAGGATGGGGTGCGTGGGGTTTACGGTATAGCGCGGCTGGGTATTGAGTCGGGAGAGGTAGAGTGTTCAGTTAAGGAGGCGTTGTTTTTTGGACCTACAGATCATTGGAGGAGTTTGAGTGTCGTTGACTTCCGGCTCGAAGTACCACACCGGACTTCGGTGATGTGACCTCGAACCTCTAGAGAATACAAGAAAACTACCTCGTGGTAGGTGGGATGGGGATTTGGGGAGTTGGACCCACAATAAGACCTGAGGTGGGACAGAAAAGTTGAGGGTGTAGGCCCCAGGCAATGTTTTAGGGGGAAGAAAATGGATTTTTTGTTAAAGTTGTTTATGCGGGGAGTGGGGCTGGCCATCGTCTTTGGGAAATAAGTTCGTAAGAGGTGTAGACCTGATGACGTTACTAAAGAGAAGCCTCAGGGTGTAAGGGATTGGAATTGGAATCCTTATTGGTGATATACATACTTCCCTCCGGTCGGGTTCATAACGTAGACAAAAGACAAAAGTCCCAGTCGTCGTCTTCCCTGGTCTAAGGGTCGACAGACAGGGAATTTCTTCGCTGAGGATCATCCTGCCTGAAGTATTTGAAATTTCCTCTCAGGAAGTAGACGACTAGCTTCATTCGAAATTGGAGTAATCCGTCACAAACATCGAGTTCAGCTGTAGTTCCTCAGGTTCAGTGAGGGCTCCAGGGGTGAGAAGCTCAGCTCCAGGTTCCGCTCAGTCGGTCTTCAGCATCCAGCTCAGGCTCAGGTAGGTATGGGACAACAAGCCCTCAGTTCAAGCTCAGGGTGGTTCAAGCCATAGCTCACGCCTCCAGTAGTCAGATGACACAAGGCTCAGGTGTACCGGCTCAGGTGGTTCAGCACAGCTCAGCGCTCAGTAAGGTGGAATGGGACACAGGCTCAGCTCAGTCTTTGACGGAAGTACATAATGGACACCTATATACACAACTTTACAATCACGACGGAGAAATGTAACGAAAAAGGAGAGTACAATATGATTAGAACGATAACTTGACGACACTTCCGGTTCAAACCGATTTAATAACATTATCCACGATATTTTATAATTTCGAATTAATGATTATAATGATAACAATTTACTGAAAAATTATCCAGGTTGATATAAATTTTACTCAATTGAAAATCTCTTCCCTAAATAAATAACCATACGGTTTAAAAGCAGGATAGCCATTTCAAAAGCAAAACGTAAAATAAAACTATCATTACTTCTAGCACCCTGAGAATAAAACTTCCCTTGAAAATGCCCAATTTAGTCCAAATGGACTATTTCTAATTGCCTCGGACACTGTGCCCAAAGGGACAAACTGTTACCTGTTGGAGAGGTATGAGTGGAACCAGGATAGAGCTGTACTAGTAAGGCCGAGGTAGTTGGATAGGCGGTTGAACAGGATGGTATGGGAGATGGTATCAAAGGCTGTTGACATGTCTAGGAGGATGAGGATACTGATGTGGCCTAAATACACATAATGCAGCTAAAAGTGTTGAAGTGCAATGATACAACAGAGTGAGATGATCTCTGGATAGGAAGCACTAAAGAGAAAGGTTTCAGACTCTATTTAAAGAACTCTCGGTGGGGGCGGACCTCAGATCTCAGGAAGTTTGTTCCAGATCTGCAGAGCATAGAAGCTAAAAGCTGCCTCAGTGATTTTGGTTCTGACCCTGTGGACGATGAGTAACCTTCCCCGATGATCTGAGAGCTCTGGGTGGCTCGTTACAGAGCAGCATATCAGACATGTACTCTGGTCCCAATCCATTGAGTGCTTTGTAAGTTAAAAGTAAGATTTTGAAGAGTGTTTTTTGTGGTATTGGAAGCCAGTGCAGAGCTTTGAGAGCTGGGGAGATGAGCTCAATTCTTCTGGTTTTGGTGAGGACTCTGGTGGCAGCGTTCTGGATGAGTTGTAGAAAAACTCTGTTGCAGTAATCAAGTCTGCTTCTATTATAACAAAAGGACTCTTACTATGAGTTACAGCTTACTTCTGATCAGCAGATGGAGGCCGTCCTTTAAAGTTTATGATGGCTCCCTTCGACCGGTCGCTCTTGAGGGACAGACAGCTGGGAGAGTCTGGTCTCTGCTGCTGGACCCTGAAACAGAAACAGATGCATCAAGAGAAGAAGAAGGAGCTCTTCATCGTCCCACAGAGGGGAAATGTACATTCTGCATTTGATCCATCCTAGTGTTAGGAGCAGTGGGCTGCCATATGTACGGGCCCGGGGAGCAGTGTAGGTAACGCTGCCTTGCTAAGGGACACCTGGGTAGCACTTGGTCTTCTGGGGTCTTGAACCGGTGACTCTCTGGTTCCCAAGCCAAGTCCCTACGGACTTTGCTACCACCGCCCATACATTGAACCGCTGGAGAAAAACTGATGAAAATATGTTAAATCTAAAGTCACTCTTTTCAATGTAATGGTATAAATCAGAGTAAATCCTAAAGAAGTGAAGTTTATCTACAAAGTGCCTCGCGTCTCTTCAGCTGCCCTGCAGCCGGCAGTGTGAAGCTAACGTAAGCCCAGAATGCAATGTCCCAAGGAAAGAACAGTTTGAAGGTCCCCCGGGTCTTTAACCCCCGAACCAAAAAATTTTTTTCGGGTTCTACACTAAACCCCAATCCTCGGAAGGTACCAGACTCCAAGTCGTAAGAAGCCTGGGAACGTCCTTATGCTGTGAGTTATTTAGTTTAATGTTATTAATGGGTGGGTGTTTAGAGTCCCCAAATAAATGAGATTTTTTTTCTATTTTTATTACATTTAAGAATTTCCTTTTTACCGAGGATTGTTTTTCACAAATCAACACTGCCCCAGGGGTTGACCCTCCCGTCACTTTGAGGTAGACCTTTTTTGAAAGTCCGCCCAAGTCTTTCGACAAAAGGGTGGTAGAGAGTTTGGTGAAAGACCTACTCCTCCTTGACTCGGCACATGGGAAGGTCCCTTTAAAAGGACCAATAAATCGCTGCAGCACCCCCGCAATTCACCTTTTACGTTCATTTCCCGTAGGACCCGTAAACTTGGAGTCACTGCAAAGAGGGGTGTTTTTCCNCCATGTGTATCAACAACCACACACACACACACACACACACACACACACACACACACACACACACACACACACACACACACACACACACACACACACACACACTAGTGTGTGTGTGTGTGTGTGTGTGTGTGTGTGTGTGTGTGTGTGTGTGTGTGTGTGTGTGTGTGTGTGTGTGTGTGTGTGTGTGGTTGTTGATACACATGGTCAGCACAATTACAGAACATCAAAGGCGACTAACATCACTGCTGTAAATCCCCCAAAGTGAATCGTCCTGCACAGAGTAAACGAAGATGTGGCCACTGCTGAGGAGGGATGAAGAGGGAAATGAAGATGAGTTATGAGGCCCATGTGAAGGGGCAGGGGATATAATGGAGGGAAGCGATTGAGGGAAAGATTTGGATTGATGGAGGGATGGAAAGAAGAGGCTCTTCCTGAAGCTCTAAAAAGGAAGCAAGCAGAGATGTGGGCATGTGAATCCACATCATAAAGAAGAGAAAGGTATTTGCATATGGAGCGGCTGATGCCTTCGAGACAGGTGCAGCTCTCACAGCTGGCAGACTGACAGCACTGGGCAGGTGTGAAGCTCGGCACATTCAGAAAGTGACACTTTACGAGAGTTTCGTGTGTGTGTGTGTGTGTGTGTGTCTGCGTGTGTGTGTGTGAAAGGTGCACCATTCATCTTAAACAGCCCTTTGTGCAGCAACCTTCAAAATAGATACATACTGTATCAGTTCTCTCAGTTTCTCCCAGCACATCCATCAGCGTCCTTCTTTCTAATTGCTGTTTTCTTATCTACAGTGTTCTCTTCTTTCTCTCCTAAAGTTGAACCAAGGGACAGGAAAGTGTTTTATCGACCAAGCATTTATGTTATTACTTTATATGAAAACCTGAGGTGTCTGGACTGTTGACTGATTTAAGGGCTTATTTTATTACCTTTAATCACAGCATGTCATACAGCATGAGAACATGTCTAACTTGTCAATGTGTTGCTTGGCCAAGAGGTGGACTATATTTCATTCTGAAACAGTCTTGCAATGACAAACCTAAATGAATGCATCAATCAATATTCCCCCTTTCTCCCCATCCTGCTTTATTCCCTTGTCATTTCACTGGTGGAGAACAAGTAGCCATTTTTAAACAAGCAGCATGAATTGCTCAGATTAAGGACAATATATTTCGTCAGCTTTCTTCAAGTCAATGTCAATTTGTTCTATCCTGTTTTTGCTCTGGGACTTTGGTTGAATTAGCCTCATCAGCAAATCATTTTGTATCCAGACACATTTGAGGTCATTGATTATATATTGGAGACAAAAACAATCAGTGGTTTCCTTTTGTAAAAACAAAAAAGAATGAAGGCCTAGAAAATTGATTAAAACAACATTTTTCACCTTTCACTAAGAAACGTATTGGCAAATCAAATCAGAAATGGTCACAGATAATAAAATAATCCATAGCAAGAATAGAAAAATGTGTCCTGAAAAGTTGTGCTTGAATAAAATCTCAACTCTAACTTTTACGCTTTTGGGTTTCTCAATAATGACTTTAAAGTATCCAACTGTAGCCGTACTAAAGAGATGAGTGTGTTTAAATAAAAGAAAACATGCTTTTTGGGGGGTAATATGGTCACAGGATATAACTGTAACATTCACTTTAACATTATATCCCAGGCGTGATTGTCCATGAAGCACCCTTCTGACAACGTTAAATATTGCCATACACATATACAGTGTTGGGTCGGGTTTTCGTGACAGCTCAGTGGCTTTTGCATGCTTTTCATTCACTGCATGGCTTCAAATCCATTGTTGCCTGTCATCCCACCTGTCTCCTCCATCTGTCCTGTTATTATTGTAGAAAATACTACAAACGAAAAACTTTCAGCAAATTGTGAAAGTTGGAACATCGTTTGCTCTGGGGAATGCAAAAATGGCTTGACATCGAGGAAGGTTGAGAAAAATCAATCATGCAAAACAACATTTGGCATGAAAAGCTATTTCTGTCTGGTCTTCCTCAACTTCTCTGTCCCAGTTCAGAACCTTGCTCTGATTGATTGAGTGGTAATTGAGTTTTTCACTGACCCCTCACTTTTCATCAGCAGAAGAATCACACCTCCGCTGCAGAAGTGCAACCCTCTCCAGGCTGTAGTTATTCCTGACAGGTGGGCTGATTGCAGCAGCTTTCTTCGGTCTAACATGACGTCTTATTGCCATTACCTAATTCCCCTCTCAGTCATCCTCTTCTGACTCACTGAAAAAGATACCTCTCCCTCCAGTCTATCCGGCTCATTTACATCCTCTCAGTCTCTTCCTATCCATATTCTCATATTACTTTTTATGCTATCTTTCCTCACACCTTTATGCACATACTTCACTATCTAGATGCTGTTGGAGCAGAACTTATTGAAGTCATGTTCAATATGTAAATATTTTTCTACTTAAAACCACCAGAGAGCCATATCTCCAGCTAATTCCCTGAATCTGACTTATCACTCGTGGCTTTTAAAACTAAATACATAAACGTGTTTTAAGGTACAACACAATGGCTTATTAAAGCAAATATCAACATGTGAAGCCACACTAGGGATCACAAAAAAATAGAAAATTTGACAAGTGGAAAGTGGCCAGACTAGCTTGAGCTGACAGAAAGAAAACACTAACTCAAAGGTATGCAGAGCATCTCTGAATGTCACACCTTGAATCAGATTGGCTACTACAGCAGCAGAATACCACATGTTGGTGCTACCTCTGTCAACTATAAGAACAGTAAACTGCGGCCTGAATCTCCAAAATTGGACAAGAAGATTGGACAAACGTTGCTTGTTCTGATGAAACTCCAATTCTGCTGCAACGTTCAGATAAATGTGTCAGAATTTGCCGTAAACAACATAAAAGCATGTAAAAGCATCCATCCTGAATTGTCAACAGTTAAGGCTACGGGTAGTGGTGTATTTGTGTGGGAGATATTTCTTTTGACACACTTTGGGCCTTTTAGAAACAATTGAGAATTGTTTTAACGCCATGTGTTGTGCTGACCATGTCCATCCCTTTATGACCTCAGTGTACCCATCTTCTAACGGCTACTATCAGCAGGATAATACGCCATGTCGAAACTTTCTCAAAGTGGTTTCTTGAACATCTACTCAAATGGCCACAACATTCATCAGATCTCAATCCATCTTTGGGGTTTGGAGGAAGGCATCATTTAAATGCAGACCAACATATCTGAGAAATGTCTCCAGTTGAATCTATGCCAAGAAAATAAAGGCAGTTTTACATGAGAAAGAGGATTTAATCTTATAGCAAGGTGAAGATTATTGTATTGCAACATAATACGATGGGCTTCAGTTTAAGAGATGAACTGTGATTCATTTTGAAATTTGAAGGGAGATATTAACACTTACAATATACCATAGCACCTTGGCTTACATTTGAGTATACGTATGTTGTGTTTGGGATTGGTTTAAGTAAATCATTGTGGATATGAATGAGGGATTTCTATCTAAATAAATCACAGTTTTTCCCTATTTAAAAAAAAAGTATTTTCCATACAATATCCGTTCCTGATTGACTGGAATTTGTTGTCAAGAATTTATAATGTATATCAAAGGTAGAGCTGAGTAACACAGCCTTGTAAATTAAAATGGAGAAGTAGTGCTCTCACGGTAGAAAGACTCCACAAACTGAACAGAATAGCATGCAGATGGGGAAGCTAAAACACAAGATGAATTATTCTTGTTAATATAAAATCATGAACATGTGTCGGTGCATGTAGTTGCTTGTGTTTTGCGGATGTCTGTGCATGAGAGTGATTCATAAGCTTTCAAAACACAAGTATTTGGAATAAAACATCAGAGCTTCTCTCCATTCGAAAGAAAAAGAGGATTAAAAGAATAGACTTATACAGATGTTTTGGCAACTATTTATTCAACAATTTTCATTTCATACATGAGAACGAACCTCTAAATTAAATATAATAAATCCCACAGACAATGGGGAAAAAACACCTTCATTACGGTGCTAAATATCAAATCAAGCCCTCTCAGTACAGCTTGATAAGAAACCCATTAGTTCACCAAGGTACATGTGTCTAACTTGAATCCTGATCTTTACTGTGGATATTTTGTATTTTGTGAGTGATAGTGCGTTACAACTTGTTCCATCTAAGTACTGATATACAGAAAGATGCGTGTTGCTACAAGGAAACACTATGAAATAGAGCAAAAGCATTGAACTGCTTACATAGCATAAGCTAAATTCAGGTAACATTGCGTATCAACACAACTTCTATCATTCTTGAAAACTCGTGATTATTTGCAGCATATTTCTAAATGTCAGTATTTCAAGTCAGTGATCATATAAAACAATGTCTCAAAGTCTAATATCCCAATGATAGCAAGATGACAATTACTGAAGAATCACTGAATGGTTTTATTAACATTGCGATAATCTTAAACTCAACAAATACATGGTGTCGGCAATCAGGGACGAGCAGAGTGATCAGTGCTCACAAGTCCCCATTTTAAGACAGAAAACAAACAAACTCAAAAATAATCTCTCTAAATGAAATATTTTCCTGAGATGCAAAATAAAAAGAGATATAATAAAAATCAAATCTTGGCATGTGATTGTGTCACATGTTTTGTCATCTTTGTGATTGGTTTTAGTGTCAACAGTGCAGAGGGACAGAGAAGTGCGCTGAAGCCAAACTGCACAGCAAAGACAGGAAAGGTCAGCGCTGGACCGAAACATGCCATGCTATCATCACTTCTGTGGAGACCAAGACCATCAAAACCGTTATTTAAAACAAGATGTCAACCATAGTAAAGTATTTCAGACGGATTATGACTCAAAGTGGCCATTCCTTTCTTCTTATTTTACTTGATATGGGCCTCTAATTTCCTGAAACTGGAGACAATTGCTTGCGCTAACTTAAGACGAGAATTCACGTGTGTGTCTGCCCCAACTGACTGCAATACTTTGTGACCAGAGAGGCTCTTCTGGGGCAGTGCAGTGTGTGTAAAGGCTGTAGCAGGATGAATACATCATGCAGTATCAGTAGGTGGAGTTTGGACAAGCTTCAATAATAACCAATCACAGCAGCTCGTCTCATCCCTCATTAAAAGAAGCAGGCAGGCAGGAGGAGGGCAGAATAACAAATTGGAGGTGCAAGGCACAATAAAAACAGCTCCCGAAATATGCAGCCAAGGATGTTCTGATTTTCAATGTAAAATGTAAGTTTCAGGATACACTGAAACCCTCTGATATAATTTTATTTGACTTATAACTGAACTTAGTCCCCATCGACAGTAACTTGTAGCTTAATATCTTGCTAGCATTACTGTTAACAGTTGCCCTACAATTACAGCCTACATGAGAGACATTTTCACGATTCTGTACAGGTCTTATTTTGTGCAACCACTGACGTGAAAATTGTTCACGAAACTGTGTGCAATTTCATGCCGAAATGACTGCCAGTATTGCACTTCCTGATCTGCATTAACAAGTCATCTCAGCTGCACCACTCCCACCTTCAGACAAACAAAGTGGCTTCGTTTGGAGCTGGGAAATGTAACCAAACAGAAGCCAGTCTAGAATTGACGAGTGCCTGAAGAAAATTGCTAGTATGTTAGCGCTATAACTGTCTTGCCGCCAGGATGAAATTAGAGGCCCATCATTTGCCGGATATTAACCAAACGCATATACAGTATGTTGGAAAGCAAGGAGGCAAAAAGTTTAAAGCTTAGTTTCAACCGACAACAAGAAAAAAATGTATTGGACTAATAACCAACCAAAAGATGTAACACAGCTACAGTTGATCTATCATAGTAAAATAGTGCATGATGGTATGTGCCAGGCTGCTAGAATAACAAATTAAAAAAAGATTCAGGTTCTGTCTAACTATAATGAAAAGTAATTTGAAACTAATCAGCTCATTACTTTCACCTCAAAACAAATATTTACATGTGGTTTTCAGAAAGGAAAAAACAGACACATTTCACCATTTACTAAGAAATATCCATCAAATTAGTCAGAGTGCATAATTCAGTAAATGGCACCTGTTTCAGTTCTAAACACCAACTCGTCACGTCAGACCCGGTTATCTGTGAGTGTTCATTTAATATAAAACAGCCTGTTCCTCTGACTTCAGAATCAACAAATCCATTCAACCACTCTCTTATTTCTAAGATGGATGAAACAACAGAACATTTGATTGACACCGTCATTGATTTAAGACACGATGAAAAGAACAAGAGATAAAAAAGTAAAAAAAAGACATAGCACTATCGTGATAAATGTACCTATACACACATGTGATACAGAAGGTTTTTAGGAACGCTTTAGTGCTGAAGGATAATGTGGTGAGGCTGAAGTCAAACCTGTAAATAGTTCAATATTGATTCAAGTGCACTGAAATGATTCAATATGGCAACTGTGGCTAAGCTTTTGCATTTTTAAAACTAATCATTAAAATGTTTAAAATGTAATATGCAACCTAAATTCTACATCAGTGGTGACATGTTTAATGATTCCCAACTTGTGATTCACTCCAGCAGCTCGAGTCCTACACATAGAGAAAGACCTTACTTGCTGACCTTATTTGCATAATGTTGTAAATTGGCCATCGAATTGGAGACAGCTGGGCCCAGTATTTTATTGCCCTTGGTAATAATTTGCTCCCTTTTAGTAGATTAGTGCCTTGCGTTTAAGTTTAAGTTCCAGAGGCCACAGTGTTTATACGTCTTTCATGGGAAACTAAATCAGCCAAATGTGTTCAATCTGATGAAAGACGACTGGCAGGGACATATGAAAAGAAACAGAAGTTGTCTCCAAGGATATGTTTCGTTTGTGTGGGAAACTTTTTTCAGCCTCCAGCTTGAAGGTAACGTTTCTTTGAAAGCGTTTCAACTCTGATTTGAACTTTAGGGATTAGGAGACGGCAGTTGGGCCATTTCTTCATTTCTTTTCAGCTTTGACATTTTTGCTAACCACATTTTTTACAACATCAAATCCTTTCGATTTTTCGCACCACAATCACAAGAAGCCACGACTCTCCAAAAGGAAGTTACAAACATACTTTCATTGCGGTTCCCTCTCAAATAACTTCAGTTTAAATAAATTAAATATGATAAAAGAACCAAACAAAAACATGCTAATGTGTATAACCAAAGTTTAGTTTTCACACATTATATACATGCCTTGTGCCAAAACAAAATACATTTGTTTAAAATTGTTCCAATAACTATTATGCACTGATAAAAATGAAAAGAAAAGTAAATAGATAGGGTGGCTAATATACAAATTTGAAGGAATCCAGAATTTAACAGCAATTTTCACAACCACATTTTAGCGTACACAATACACAGCAGGGAGCTTAGAACCATTTAAAACAAAAATATTAAAAACATTTCCTTTTTTTTTTATAAAAACATGATTTACCTTACAGTTTCAAAAAAATGCACTGATTTATCTTTCTCATCAACTCAAAGACAGCCTCAGCATCTCTCCACTGCCCATTTGAACAGAAGACACATTCCCAAGGCAATCCAGTTGTTGGCAAGGGAACACAGTTTCTCATTCAGACATTTTTGTGCTTCACTATTTATCTTCAGTTTTTAGTTTTTGGAAAGGAGCCCCCTGCAGATCTATGACCCAGCACTCACACACTATTTCTTTTTTTTCCCTCTTTTTTTGCTTGAAGACCCCATGAAATGGAAATCGAAGCGCAGGTCATGGAGAGTGACTCCAACAAAATGGAAACCAGAAGAGCAGTTATGCAGTATAATGGGGAGAGTTTCTGCCATGTTGGTGATATATACAGTTTAACTAAATAGTTCAATTGAGATACAAATACAGAAAATGTGGTTTTAGTCAAACTGAGGTTATCACTGTTTGTATAAAATAATATTGTGTGTAGAAAACCTTGTTGAAAGCTGTCTGTACCTCAAGCTTAAAAGAGGTGACCATGATAAATACATTATTAACTAACTTATTTTATTAACTTCTCATGGTTCATCTTACATTTCACGGGGTCCTTAAGTATTCAAATGAATAAATGGTGACATAAACACAAACCAAATAATTCAAAGTGAAAAGCTAAACTAATCTCATTACAATTTATACAGCTTTTAGAGAGAGAGAGGAGATTCCTTCTGTACACCTGAACCCTTTATATGAATCACAAACTACTGTAAGCTGTCAAGAGGACCTTGAAGGTGTTGGTATGCCGCTAAACTGCAGCCTGGACAGTGCAGGAATATACAGAGAAAAGTACATAGGGACAGCAGATTTAGTATTATACACTTGATTGAGTTTATTTAATGGAATGCTTCATGTAGCATTTGTGTTTATTCTCTGCTCTAAACAATACAACACTACCTTTATAACCCCTACCCTAATAATGAAAATCATATGATACACTTATCTGACCAAGCTTGCTACAGTGTTACACAAAACCTTCTTCTTATCTTACAAGGGTCAACTGTTTAATTACAAGTCTATTTAGAGGGGGATGGGGTCGGGGGACGTGGGTCTAAAAGTACCATATTCAGTGTGATAGACATGTATAAGGCGTAAACAGCAAAGATCTTCAGTAAAATAAAAAAAGACGCAATGCATAATCAAAGAAGCTGTGAGCTAAGCAATGAAATGACGGTCCATGTAACCCATCTACAAAGCATTTACATTGCTACTGACAGACGATACATGAAGGCATTGACAGAAGTTCAATGGCGTCTGTATTTTTAGGCACCGTGTTGATGTGACATATGATCATGTGTTTGTGGACGTGTGTGTGTGAACAAAGGGGATATACTGTAGTGTGTGTGTGTGTGTGTGTGTGTGTCTGCTTGGAGGGGAAACAGCAGAGAAGATGAAGAAGGGCTCATGTAAGAAAGCAGTCATGGTAGATATACAGACTTCCAGGCATTCACGTCAAAGGTGAGGAACAATATGAGAACGGGATCATTTCGGCAGCGACTGCAAAGCTGCCTGTGAAAACCGGCTGCCAAAGAAAAGAAGAAAGCAATAAAGAAATAAAGGACACAATGTAAATGATAGACAAAAGGCAATAATAGGAAAACACTTGGGGAACTTCTCCTGTCTGTGGACTGCCTGCGGGTTTCTTGTTGATACGGCGGGGGCAGTTGTCAGAGGTGGAGAAGAAGAGAGAGAGAAAGAGATACAGAGATTGAAAGAGGGCTTAAGGGAAAGAGGCAGCAGCTCCCTCTGCAGTCTAAATGAAGTATTCTTTCTTTTCTTCTGCGTGAGCATGGTTGCCCTCGGCGTTGATGATGGCTGTGTCGGCGTCGGGCGCATCGTCCGCTCCTTTGGCCTCGTTCGTCAAGTAAGTTCCTGAGAAAACGAAAAACAAACCTACATCAAGGAAAAACAAATACTGAGCAGCCCGGCATGGTGTCTGCTGCCCGGGGCGAAAAAAACACATACTATGAAGACAACATCAATAATATCAGCTAACGGCCTACTGTAAATATGAGAGGCTAGGGTAGGACATGCAAAGAGAGTAAAACCTTGCTTTCTTTATTATTTTTTAATGATGGAAGTTAAGGCTCAAAGTCGAACATCTAAATTATATAAAGCACGACTCCACTCAGGAGCATCAGCGTTGGAAACTGACCATTACTTTTTAACCCAGGCGTTTTTGCTGTTGCCACTTCCTTTCCGGCAGAGTTACTACATGTATTACCCACACATTAAATATATTGTTTTATTCAATTGTAATTAAAGAAAGACATCATGTTTGATACATGTTTGTACAGTTTTTACGAAAATGGAAAATTATTTTATGCAATTGAGATTTTATGTTTTTAACCTACAGAATAATATGAGTAGTATAAAAACAGATGGGACATTTGGAGCCTTAGTACAGTCAAATATTTACAATACATCTTTTGGAGTTATAAGATGCACGATTTGCCATAATTTCGAAAGAGATAATGATATCCTATGAGATTGTAAGTCTTACAGAACTAGGTGTCAAAGTTATGACTCTGAGTGCACATTTTGACAACAATCACGAGCAAGGGTTAACAGTTATACATTTCTATAGCCCTATTACTCTCTCAAATATGACATGACTGTTTCACGTTTAGTGGATGATAAACCAGTGAGCTCTTTGTATGCACAAGGGACACCACACTATGTGCGCATCAAAAACACGTCCTTTAATGTAGTGGTTCCCAACCTGGGAACCACTGCATTCGCAGGGGGGGGTGGCGCCAGGCCTCAGATGATTTGAGGCCAAATATCATATTTAAACTTTTTCTTTTTTTTTCTTAAATTTTTTCTTTTTTTTTACATATAATTGTAAAACAATACATGATTGTCACTAAAAGCCTTGTCTCTACATTACAATAAAATATAACAAATAATTGATTAATTAATTTG